CACTGGAAAATCGATTTCCAGCTGATGCCCTAGAAATCGATCGAAATACAGAAAAACCCTAACCCTAATTTTTCCCCCAATTTTATTTTTCGTTTGTTTTTTGGCCACTAATAATTTTTCTGTCTTTCGTGTTTCCTGTTGGACCCTGAGTTCTTGGTGAACCTGCTTGGAGCCCTGGTCTTCGAGCTGCAGTTGATTGGTGGATCGAATCTGCTTAGTGCTTGTTCTGTATTCGAACCTTCTTGGTGAAAAATTCCTAAACTCCGCCATTATTTTGTTAATTACTGCTTCCTGAATATTGTCACTTTCCCTGATTTCCCCTGTAAATTGTGTTCCCTGGTGTTTAGAATTGAGCCTTGACTTGGGGTCTTGAACCTCACGGAATCTTAGTGAATTCTAACACCTTGAATTAGTAGAATTCTGATTATTAGTCTGTTTGATTCTCAATAGTTTTATTCTTTGTGAAGTTTCCTTTTTTGTGTGTGTGATTTCAGACCTGTTTAATCTCACTGTCTATTAATTAAAATCTTAAATCAAAGTCAACAATTAATTTTAACCACTTATTTTATGGGACCCACAATTTTTCAACGCACATTCCATCAATTTTTATCAAAATTCACTAAAAATTAGATTTTAATCTCTATCAAACAGGAGTTTAGTACTTGAAGAGTATGTGATGGAAAGGGGGCAAGGGAAACTAAAAACGTATATATGCACATGTAGTCTTTGTAAAATGTTTATCAACTTTTTAATTGGTCAAACTTCAATTTTAATCAAATGATTTTTATCAACTTTTCAACCTTACATTTTATCAACGTTTATCAAAATATACCCTTACAAATTATAGGAGGAGTTCTCATTTTATTCAAAATGTAACGTCTTCATAATAGCACCTCACATACCTTATACATGCCATTTTATTGAAAAATTTGACGGAAAATGTCCATCGAGACTTACATTGTAAGTGTAACAAAGGGTAGGCAAAAGATTCATAACCAATTGAACCAGTATTTTAGATTCATCTCTACTTGAATTAAATGATTTTGATTCCTCAAAAGAACCATCTTGTTTTGGTTCGATTCCAATTCTAGTCTGAGATTTGAGAATCAGTTCAAACCCATATTTTAAATATTAAAGTTGTTGCACATAGAAAAATTAACCCTTTTTTTACAGTATAATAATCTCAGCAGTAAGTATAAAATGTCGAAACATAAGGTCTTGTACTTTTCTTCAAACTTCAATGTCCTAATTTGGTCTTCCAGAGTTTGCAGTTTTACCTTGAATGAGTCTTGTTGTTTTGATTTTGCACGTGTGAAAATTTGCATTAAAATTTTGAAATTATTTGTTATAAAACCAATCCAAACCAAATATGAACCAGTTGATTCAGCTTTGGTTTTGTTCCATAAATATAGATTGAACCATTTAACCATTTATTGGCTCTATTATAAAATAATCGTTAATTCTCAATTCAGTGGGATTTGAACTAACTATTCTATTCGGTATTTGTCTGGTTCCATAAGTAAAGCGGAATCAATGGTTCCATTATATGGTAAATGATCAAATCGAACCATGTCCACCTCATTGTAAAACTAAATGAAATTTAGGGTTCAACTTGCAACTAAAACAATGACTTCAGGACCAACATTTTAATTTTCAGTTTAACGAACTATATAATCCCATATTTCTTAACATATATGGCAAAGCTTATAACTGCTTATAAACAAGGACGGATCCAGGACTGGATTCAGAATCAGACTAAAAAAAAATGGTTTTAACATTTTTTATTTTTTTTACATTTAAAAAATTAAATGGGTTGGGGATTCGACCAAGCTATAGCCCAGCCCAGTCTCCCTACATCCACACCACACATGCCTATAACTTGATCGAACTCTACTTCTATACACATGTTCCTATATGTCAAAAACTTTTATTCACTTGCTATCCACACATTTTATAAGACCTAATAAAATATTTGCCAATATGTCTAGTACATAAAATCCTTGTTCTAAATTCATGAATAAGAGCTTGTTTGACAACTATTAATTTATTTTATAGTTGGGTTAATTTCACAAATGGTCACTGAAGTTACAGCAAAATTTCAAAATGGTCACTGAAGTTCCAAACTTGCATAAACGATCACTCAACTTTCAGTCACTTTCAAAAATGGTCACTGAAGTTAGTTTTAGGACTTTCTTGTTCTAATTGAAACCTAAAGCACCAAAACACGGCCACGTAAAAGTTGGAGGACCTCAACTTCAAAATACTCTCTCTTTCTCTCTAGAATTGCAAAAAATGTACAAAACATCTGTCAAATTCCGGCGACGCAAACCACCGGATTTTGGTACCAATGTCTTGCCCATAACATTAGCTTCCATTATATCCAAACATCATGAAATTTGACCCACAAATTTGGAAGAAATCGAAGAAAATAAAAAATAGATTTTCGCGAAGTTCGCGACAGCGCACTTCTTGGCTGCAATTTCCGACTACAATCCGACGAACCAGGGGCTCACACCAACGGGGTTAGGTACGTCTTCACCTGGCGCACCTAGCCCAGTAATGGGTCTTCACCAATTTGGCACGAATCAAAACGAATTTGGATCTGAACTCGTTTTCTGCTCTCGCGAGTTCAAGCCAGCGAACACTTCAGCTTCAGATCCAAATTCGTTTTGATTGGGATCAAATTGGGGGAGACCCATGGCTGGGTTAGATGCACCAGGTGAGGGCGCACCTAGCCTAGGTGGTGCGCCACCCTGGTTCGCCGGAACGGCGCTGGAATTCGTTGTTCTCCAGTGCGTTGTCGCGAGCTTCGCAACTGACATTTTTCTGGGCAAAATTGGAGCTGTTGAGTTCTTGTTTGGGATGAATTGAATCCATGGTTGAGGTCGTCTATGTGTGGGCTTTCTACCAATGGTGAGATCCGGTCATGGGGGTGGCCGGAGGTGGTGTTTCCGACGTTTTTCATAATTTTTGGCAGCTAAATTTGAGCTTGAATTCCGGCCAGATTACTTGATGAAATTGGGAGGGGTTTGTTGGGGTATCCAAATCCAACGGTTTGGGTGGCCGGAAGTCATTGGAATTTTGGTGCATTTGTACTGTCAGAGATGAGGTTTAGAAAATGAATTTGCACTTCAGGTCCTCCAATTTTGAAGGGGCTTGTGTTTGTTAATTTGGGTTTCAATTAGAACAAAGAAGTCCCTTAATTTTGCTCAGTGACCATTTTTGAAAGTGATTGAAAGTTGAGTGACCGTTTATGCAAGTTTGGAACTTCAGTGACCATTTTGAAATTTTGCTGTAACTTGAGTGACCATTTCTGAAATTAACCCTTTTATAGTTTGAAAACTAGGTCTGAAAATTGCCTTCAACTAAGTTAGCCCTTGTTTGTCCCTCATTTTTTTGCATTTTTGGGAGTTTAAAATTTTTAGAATAGTAATTGATGGGAGAATGTGTGGTTGAAAATTTTTTGATTTATGTGTAATATTATTTTATTTGATAAATGTATGGTTGAAATGAAGAGATAGAAATTTAATGTAATGTAATTTAATGAGGGTCAAACAAGTACTTAATGAAACTAGTTGTGTTTATAAACAAAACAATGCATGTTTGCATGAACTATCGTGTTTGCTTATCTTAATGTATGATTGCAAAGTTTGCAAGAGAATAGTTTGAAACTTTAATGTGAACCCACGTAGCGAAGAACTATGAAACCCACGATTATATTGAAATTGAACCCAAGAAAGCCAGAATAATCAAAGTGGGCCCACCATCTTAATTAAGTATATATCGATCCCTTGAAATACGTGAACATCCAACATATTGAATAAATGGGCCCACCATCTTAATCGTTTGTCACGTATGGTTATGTTGTTAAAACTACTGATGAAACAGACATTGGTCATGTTACTACTAAAACAAATTAGAAACTCGAGTGATCAAATAAAAATAATTTAAAGATAAATGACTAAAATGAAACTTCACAATAAATTGTGGTACCCTTTTCATCGTATAATAAATCTTTGTTCACTGTATATATAAAGTAGATTCTAAATAACGAATTGACCATAGAGATTATGATATGTCATGTTCAATTCAACATATGCTATGTCACTGTTCAAGCGAATCATTAGTCCTACACCACCGTGTTTTTATTGAATGTTAAATGTGCCATATGGAACTTCATTTATTATTGTATGTAGTCCCAAATGGAACACAATTGGTGTAGGCTCATGTTATCGTATGTTGTTCGTACAAGAGTCAAATATGACATTCACGACATTTCACCTACACAAGTAGGTCATATTCGACACATTGAATAACGTTATTTCATCCCCAGGGTATACCCATCTTTCAAATTTCTATGATTTATAAAATGATTGGTACCTAATAATCAGTTCAGAAAGAGAGAGAAGCGAGTATTCGTCAAAAATTCATGACACAGAACAATAAAATGGTGTAGATTTAGGAAATAATCAAGTCGAAACAATGAAGTAGCTAATTCCTATCGTGACTCTCTATCTTCCTCGCTTTAGAAGGAAGATCAAATCAATGTCACATCAAATAATTAATTTCACTGAAGTTTCTACCAAGAGTGGAAAAATCCTTAAAAACTCTAGTCAAACTTTCCCTGTGACAATATTACACTGAGGATAGCTTTCCACTCAATGTTGGCTCTGTAGAAGGAAGCGCAAAATATACAAGCAAATACATTACCTCTGATGTGTTATATAGTAAATCATAAATTCTTCAGAGGAAGGCCAGCTTTCCTATCGTACTATTTCTCATTCCAACTCGACTTGCCATCTTCTAGTCTACAGAAACAAATGCAAAAGAAAAATACGCTGTGTTTTGGCTATTCACAAAAGGGTTCACTTGCCTACACAACTTAAGGTAAACACAAGGGAATATAGAATTTATCTTGTCAGACAAATTTTCTTTCCCAGTTACGATCAGCTTGAATACATACGTCAGCACTCGTTGAATGAATCTAAATGAAGGAAAGCCTATTCACTTCCACTACTGTATCTAGACCCATCTGGAAATATGAAAACACAAAACCAGTAAATAGGATTACATAATTTCACATATTTGCATGGAATGCAGAAAAGGGAGACTTTGTGATACCTCCAGAAGGTCTTTTCCCTTCCATGGCTTCTTTCTTCTCCTGGCAGCTCAAGCAAAGGAAAGGACCATCCCAAGGCCGCACTTTTCTAGAATCAGATGATCCAGCATGAACGGAAACACCTTCTCCAGGTTTTATCTCTACTTGGCAAACCGCACACATGAAGAGCTTAAATATATTGCAGATTGGGTACTTCAAATCCAACCTAAAATTCGGTACATACACATAAAATCAGTGAAACCTAACTCTTTCTACTTGAGAGGTTGATATGAGATTCGAAAAATAAAATTATTTAAACATCACATACAGCAAAGGCTATCAATAGTCAAGATTTTAACTTTTTTCAATAGTATAGTCAGAATCTACCTCCAAACATATTAGAAAGGTAAACCTAGAACCATGCACACCTTTCTGAAAGTACAGCCGATCCTTCCTCAAAGAGTTCCTCCACCACATCTGGTTCGCAGTACTCTTCCTTGTCAATCTGAGACGATGACTCTGAAGATTTTTTTCGAAACATTGACTTGAAGACTCCTTTGCCTTGTTTCTTAGGTGGTGGTTGGGGAGGATTTGGCTTCTCTGGTAGTTGAATATCCACAACAATACAGGTTGTATCATCTCGAAGTCCTTTTATGGATAAGGCTTCCTGAAAGAGTTGAAAACGAGTAAAATAAGACCGAGGGCATGTTTGAGCCCCGTCATTTTGGCAGAGAATGCATTTTTGAATAGTGATTGATGGAGAACGTGGTTATAAAATAAGGTAAATCTTTAGATTTGCGTGTAAAATTATTTTATTGACGAATGCGTGATTGAAAAGAAGAGAGAAAAATGTATTTTGAAAAAATATGAGATTAATATTATTGACGAATGTGTGATTGAAAAGAAGAGAGAAAAATGTATTTTGAAAAAATATGGGATCAAACAAGGGCCAAAGAACTTACTGATTGATATGGAACATATCAAGAAATAAAAACTACCTTGACAATTTGTGAAGCTGCGGCATCTACTGGCAACCCTCGAGAACACTCAAAAGCCATTTCCGCAGATAATGCGTCCCAAACACCATCACTTGAGATAATAAGCCTGCCACCGGCCGATGATAGCTGCAGATGATGAGATATTTGAAAATAATTTCAAAATCTGCTTCATAAACCATGAATGACAAATTGCATGAAAGATAGCTCCATAATTCTTAGTTTTCCACGGAAAAGTACTAAAACAACCAGCAAAATCATCATCTTCTGATTCAGAAAGGAATTTATTTCCTTGAACAAATTTACTAATCAAACTAATTATGTTCTCCATTTCTTTCCGCACGTGACAACTGCTTTCATTTGTAAAATTTTCAGTACCCTCTCTAATCCATAATTAAATGTGTGGTGGTGTTAGCTGTTATAAGCTCAAAATATGAATGAAATAATTCAATAAAGGAATTCTACAATTCTTTTCACCTAGTAAATGAAATGAAAAGTAAAGGCTTGGTTGCAAAGATTAAATATTTACATAGAAAAATGTAATGTTTTTATTAACAGTTGAGCTTCCACATGCATTCCCATGATCTATTTCAGAAACAGGGATTATAAGTTTTTTTTGATAGGTAAAACAAGGATTATAATGAAGAATTCAAAAAGAAAACTTATTCCCTCGTCAAAAATTAACATTTTACAGGTATCCTAACTATTCACATAGATAAGTCTTGCTGACATATAATATCATAGATTAATAGATAGCTTAAATTCCCAAAGTTAAGGTTCATGTAATAAGTACCGCTTATGATATTTTGGTTTAAAAGTCAATTTTTGTAAGGAATACTTCATATTGTTAAATATGTTCGAACAAATTCTACCCCACTTTGCATTTGAAAAGAAAATGATATAAATGGAGTCCCAAGAGAAACAATGCAACTTCTCAAATCAGAATCAGAAAAATTATTGACAGTACAAGATAGAAAAATTGTTTCAACACTGGAACTGAGTACTTGAAATTCAGCAAGCAAGATACGATTAGAAACAAACCTTTACTTGCTTTACATGAGGAATGGGAACTATGAATTCTCCAACATCCATATCTCCGATAGATCGCGAAAGGCACAAGCCACCAGGCCAACATCTCAGAGGACCAATCTAAAGTGAAATCAGTGCACTAATAAGATTCTAAGAGTACCAAAAACCCCAAGAAACAAAAGTTCAAGAGATATTATGCTTATAGAAATCATCATATCAGACTTCTCATCCCTTTTCAAAGAAATGGAAAACATATTTTCTGCCTCCTCTGTTTATAATTTGAATGATATGGTTTGACTCACACAATCGAATGGACAGTTTCCGACAGACATACTTATATAAATTTACTTAATTAAAGAAAAACTGAATAGCTGTGCAATATATCTTATCTTTATCATCCTAGATTTTTCTTTACAAAGAAGGCATGTTCCAAAAATCGTCTGTTGGATAGAAGAAATTTAACAAAAAGTCATACAACATCTACCCAACAGAAACATGTAGCCCCTGTATGGGCTCCATTAAAATGAGGTTTTAAAAAGATATATATGTTTTGGAATAGTTATTTTTTGGAGAATGTGTGTTTAAAAAAGAAGTAAAAGTTTTGGGTTTACGTGTAATATATTATGCGAGAATGTGTGGTTGAAAATGAGTTCATCCAAAAATGTATTTTCAAAATAATGGAACCCAAACAGGGGTATAATTTACTTTTAAAACTTCACAAATTTGTTATATGTAAATCGAGCAATTCCAAAAATATGTACTGTTTAATTTCAAGTTCCATCCTCCCCTGTGAGCAGATAAATGTACAGTAGGCAATCATAAAAAGCAGTTTTATATCCTTAATTTATAGTTTGGTGCTATGTAATTGGCATCAAATCCTATGATTCCATGTCGTGCTTTCTGCTACGATAAGTAAGCCCCTTTAAGAGGTGAGACAAAGATACCTCCGTGCCACCACCAGTATTAAGCCGACCAACCTCACCGCCACTTGATGTTATACGTTCCCTCCTGTTTAACCATAACTAAAGAATCAGACCTTACTGTTAAAGGTTTCCAGGTCATGCATCAGACAATAAAATATTACTTACTCTTCTTCATTGCATTCAAGTCTATGATCTGCTGATAGATAATATATTCCCCCTTCAGCAGATTCGAGTACGCAACGAGAATCACCAACTGATGCAACAGTTACCACCCATCCATCAATTATTACAAAGGTGACTGTGGTTCCAGAAGTTTGCGCTGACACATAGTCACAGAAAAATATCAGAATCTAATTTGCATACAACAGTGAGAGAGACAGAGCCATCTTTTTACTATGACTAGAAGCAAGATCGAGGTAACTACAAACTGCAGGTGTTAATTAAATTCAATTGATATCCTATTTGATTTCTGAAAAATTCCAAGTAGAGGAAACTATGTAATACCACCAATTCTAAAAATGCAATAGAAAAGTAACTAAAGCTGTTTGTGCAATGAAACAATCACGGATATGTGTAAGCATCTATCATAGATCTGTAGAACTTAATCCCTTTTAATTTTAAAACAAAAATAAAATTATAACACATCTGACACTTTAACCAAACCCATGACATGTAAGAACCTGTAAAATTTCATTTGCCTACATTCAGATTGGTGCATCAAAAAATTGATTGTATTGCCTAAAACCAAAAAATATATTTGAAATGAATTTGAAGAATCTTTGGACACTGGAAATAGACTTGTTTTTCATTTTTGAACTCCAATGGTAATTTTTGTATATAACTATGGACCAACCACATGGAAATGTTGAAAGATTAAGACTCGTGGAATCACTGTTAACATTTCGTCAAACACAACAAGATGGCAATTTGCCATAATCGATTTTTTAACATTTAAAATCAAAAGACTGTAGCAATATAAATCTTAATGATCTGTAAAACTTTTTCTTAATCCTCTCCCTAAACCAATGTCTCTTTCCATTTCAATCTGCAACTGAGATCCTGAAAACATTATTTAGCCGTAATTTTGATAGAAGATGATAAAATATGTGGTTGAAAATGAGTTTGAAGAAAAATGAATTTTAGAATATGGGGGCCAAACAGGGGCTTAGGTTTTTCTAGGCAAAGTCTGGTAAAATACTTAAAAATTGTTGAACTGACAAAATATCATTCACTTTTCTAGAAATATTTTTTTAGTTTCAATCAGAACTTCAATCTACTGCAAATTATTGAGAATGACTAGTCTACTGTATGTACTGCAATCATCGTGCCATGATTAAGTGAATTGAACCAGAACTATTTCTACCTCTTTCTTGGAAATCTTTATCTGTTTTGATGAACCCAGCAACCAAAGCCCTTGGCAATGCGGCAACCCACTCGTCCCTGTTAAGATCTGATGGAATAGCACCCAAGACATTGTTCAAGAGATTTTCCTTGGAATATATAGCGGCTGCAGATCCATTGTGACCGTCGAATAACTGCAGATAGATCAGAAAGGATACGATGTGTAAGAAAAGAAGCAAACTAGTACGAAAAGAAAATATTCAACATTTAGTTTCCAGCAACAAGCAGTTACATCAATTCCTCACACATTTCAACATCAATTGTTCAATGTGTATATAATGCACAGTGCAAATGTGTAGATTGTGGGTGTCATCCCCGTATTACATATTAAAGATATAACCAAACCAATGGTTCCTGTAAAACAAAATTCAATGCACGGGAAAAATGATTAACTAGAAAGAGAAGCTCCTCTCAATCCTCAACAACAATACTGAAATTATTATCACATCAAAAAAATTAATCCGGAAAATTGTTGTATCAAGACCGATGAAAATAGCATCCAGTCCGAGCATGACTAACATGATATAAAATGCTAAAATCCAGGAAAAACTGAAGTTCCACAACTAAAAATGGCAAACTCCAATGAAAAATAGAATGATAAACAAAGAGAAGAATGATATGATCATACCCCAAAGACAGAATAAGTGGTGACTCCATCAGCCAGGACCCGTTGGCATTCAGTCTTGAGGAACGTAAAGTCCTCGCCTTTCTTGCTCTGGCTGGCCTGCCCATGCAAAATCTCAGGGTTCTCAAGCTTCTCATTAGCCAATTCCCGCTTTAACAAGACCGATAATGGGACCGTCTGATGGTCACCACTCCTAGACAACATCGCTCCCTGTCCCAACAGCCACAAAAAAGATAATTTTCTTTCCTTTTATCTTTCTTTCTCTTTGCACAAGATTCAGAAAATGCAATCCATTACATATTCAATTCAATCCGCCAATTTCTTGTTGTAGTTGTTGCCAATCGATTCAATCAACACAAATCCAACAAATCCTATACATAAAAATACAATATAAAAATGGAAGAACAAATCAACATCTCAATATAAACAAAATAAACCAAAACAATTAGAACAAGGGATTCAATTTAATTTGATTCATATTTATATCAAAAAAAATTAGCAATAAGACAATCAAGATCCTCTCAAATTATAACAAATATTCAACCCATAAAACAACATTACATATCTACATTAATAAAACGAAATCTGATCTTAGCATAATGTGGATAGACCAAAGTTGTAACGGATAAAGGGCCCAACCTAAAATTGAGAAAAAAGAATCAAGAAACTAGAGAATAAACATACAATTTATTAAAACTGGCAAAAATGGTCTTTTAGTTGCATTCATCGAAACAGGCCGATTCTGGGTCTGGGTTTCAACGCTGCAAAATAGTAAATAAAAATAAAAATTGTGGTGCGTTTTCGTCTATTGAGAGGATAGGAGAAAGAGTGTTAACATTAGAGAGAGAGACAGATGTATAATGAAATGAAGGCTATTTTTCTTCTTGCTGTTTAATGCTGTTTTCGGAGAATATATTTTTATTCGTGGATTAATGTTGTGTTCCTGTTTGTTACTTTTTGTGTGTTGTGTGACAATTTGACATCTCCATTTTGCATTTTCAGAAAGTTGGAATCTGAGCTGTAAAAAGGTTGTGTGCCTTCCTCTCCTCTTGCAAGCTTCTTTGTGGGCTCCATTTCATCCATTAATGCAACCAACTTAAGTTTACACAAAATTGTTGAGTGTGACTTTCGAGTATGGAGCAAATGAGTGCGTCGACGGAAATTCCGTCGGTAATAACCAACAATATTTTGTAAGATATTTGGTGGAAATTAATGTTGGTGACTCGAGATGGCATTATTAACAACAATTCTGACTATAATTATTGATATATTTCTATAGATGATCATCAGCTAACGTCAGCAATAGCAACAACAAGATTTTACCCTGTCTGTTTGTGCTACTAATCAAAATTTTGACCGTTGAAAACACTGTGCAGCCGCAACATTGGACTGAACTCTCTCTTAGTGGGGCCCAAAAGGTTGAAAAAAAGCGATTTTTTGGGGGAAAAAATCGGAACCAGACAGGTTCTTTATTATGCATACTAGTTTTCAATTTCTTATTAGTATTGATATTTAAGTTCAAATATCTTTTATTTTCCTTTATAATAGTGCTTTATTTATTGCTTTTTTTTGTTAGTGTTAATTTTATTAAATAGAATTGCTACATTAAATTTATGAAGATGAATCTTTAAAATTGTAACCGACGAAAAGCCTCAATTATTAAAATTAAATATTTATTTATTACCTATGAATTTATTGCTTCATTTTGATCAATTTTTTTAGTGATATAATTTTCTCTATAGATTGAATTTATTAAAATAGTTTTTTAATAATTACTGATGAAAAGTTTAATGCAGAGATTCCATCATGAAATTCTTTAAAGTTGAGAGTCTCACCTAAGTTTTTGGGTCTAAATTGCTTAGATGTTAATAGCATTACTGTTTTTTTTTATGATTGATAATAGTCAACAAAGTGCTATATTATAGTAGCAGCAAAAATAGAACCTAATGAAAGTGTCTTTCAAAAATAGAGCTTGCAGTTCCATCCCATTCCAAGACATTCACACCAGCCAATGTATCAAGAATCATCGTATATGTACAATGTTTGTTGAGAACATCCTACCGACATCATCATATTTGTCAATTTTTAAAAACTGTTTTCTATACCACATGTTTGAATTTTGACAACACATGTGATGTAGAAAACAGTTTTTTTTTTTTTTAATTGATGAATATGATGATGTCGGGTATGATGTTTTCAACAAACATTGTACATATACGATGATTCTTGATACATTGGCTGGTGTGAGTCAACCATGTTTGTACACTTAACTTTATACATGTATCAAACGTCAATTTAACAATTTCAGAATCCAACATCAGTGTCCTACAATAAGCTACTATATAAGAAATGTGAGGCATTGTCATACTCGTCTTCTACATAGAAGTTGATGAAATGTGTAGTTGAAAAATTGTAGATCATATAAGATGTATGGTTAAAATTACTTGGATTTAACTTAAATTTATTTTAATTTTTACCAAACATTGACTTAGTAGTACAATAAACCAACAAATCAAAATCTAAATATTAGTATTATACCCCATACCACTTCAATTCTTATTGATTCACAAGAACTTGTAATGAAGTTTTTGTCACTCCCAAAGATAAATTAAGGTGGACCCAACCAATCCATATTATAAATTAAGCAGACTTTGGTCGGCCAATCACAAATTCATAATTTCATGCATTCCCATTGTTAACGTACATCAAACCCAAAAGGATTCGACGAAATATTCAACAAAATAGTCAAACTTTCACAATTGAAGTATGAAAGTATCTTATTAATTTTTTTTGTTGATGTTTAAGTCCCTAAACTTTTATCCTCGACGTTGATTATTGGTCTTCCTAACTATGAAATTGACAAATGAGTTGAACAATAATCATAGCCCTTAATTTAAATTAATTTAATGATCAAGATCTAAATTAAATAAGATTAAATTAAGGGTCACGATTACTTTGACAGGAGGAATGGTCTCCTTACATCATATTTTTTTAAATTTTTCTATTCAACCTCGCATGCAATGCATGTGATGGCCCATTTAACGGCGGTTCAAGAGTAAGAGCAGCACATTTCGCAGGGCTATTGCTTTTTGTAGAAGGGCATTCTAAAGTCAGCTTCCTTAAAAACTCTTATAGCGAGACAATACTTTTGCAAAATTATTATCTTATTTTCGGAATGGACCGTATCATTTTTCGAGACTTGAGAAACAAGATTTATTAATGACATTCTTTTTAAATAAAGAAATTAATAGGACTTCAAGTTATTGCATGTTACAATTAATAATTATGAAATTGAAAAAAAGAGAAAAAAAACGTAGAAAAGGTGTGATATTTAGGATATCAATTAATCTAGTTGTACAATTAACCTAGGATATATGCATCTACGTGGGTGTAGGGCCCAGGCACCGTCTGCTACCTAATACTTTGACCTCCGGTTGGAAGTTAAGTCTACGCCCTTCCGAAATCTCCGGCGTAAATTAAAGTTCCATACGCATGCCCAGCGAGTGACAACTTCATTTCCCCTCATTACGCCTTGTTACTAATATTTGCTAAGAAATTGATGATTATTGTTGGAGCATGTCCAACACGTAAAAATAGTTGGGACCCACCTATAATTCTCCAACTCCGTTATATTCTTTAGACGTTAGTCATATACTTGTATACTACTAGGTACAAGCAACGTGCAATGCACGTTTGCGTAGTTTATATTTAATAGTTTTGTTTAAGAATTAATTTGTTATTAATAAAGATATAATTTTTTTAGTTAATTAAATAATTAATGATGTAATATTTATGTAATTGATAAATAATTAGATGTGTGATTTTGATGCTGTGATATAAATTGGTGAGATCAAAGAAAATAAGNAGTTTTGTTTAAGAATTAATTTGTTATTAATAAAGATGTAATTTTTTTGGTTAATTAAATAATTAATGATGTAATATTTATGTAATTGATAAATAATTAGATGTGTGATTTTGATGTTGTGATATAAGCTGGTGAGATCGAAGAAAATAAGTAAAAGTTGACAAATTTGGAGAAATTGCTAAATTGTAAGGGATCCAAAGTTCGGGGACTAAAATGTAAATACTTAAAAGTTGTGCCGAACCTCACGATGAAGATTTAAGAGTGCTTGGAGGAGTCAATTGGATAAAGGAAGACGTCAATGAAATCAAATTTAGGCAAAAGATGATCACAAATCAATTTCCAACCAAAAAGTTATGCTCCGATATTTTAATCTCATATTGATACCTATTTTTGGCATAGAAAGTGATCGAATTGGAAAATGATGTATGAATCAAAATTGTAGCTAGATGAGTTAGCCAGATCAATCGGACATCGGAATGCAAAATTATGATAAAAACATTGAAAGAAGGTGCAGTTGCTTGTTTAAAATAAGAAATTCCGTTACATAGTCCGTTAAAACAACAATAGTTTTTCCGTTAAAAATAAGAAATTCCGTTACATAGCCACCTTTAATATATAGAAGATATTGAATTTACATGTTAAATGCGTATGAAGTTTAATCCGTCAGTCAGTATAAGTGAAATAATTGAGCACGATGTTTACCCTTTTTATTTTTTACAAGTAGTTGAACATTGAACGCACCAATTAGATCTTTATTTCATGAATGAAGCAGTCTAAGAAAAATGAATTTTGGGGTGGATGTATAGAGGAGGAAGACACGTCAGGTTTTTGCATGTGGTGGTAAAATACAACATGTTTCATTTTCTCTATGTTCATGGGTCCAGCTAATGTTCCAGCTGTAGACAGACAACCTGGCTATCATTATGTATTCGAGTCCCACATTTGGGACAACAAAGTCAAAAAGTCATTTTTTTTTTAACTCGTGCGTGTTAAATGGGACGATGTGTGTCAAGCCACTCTGCTTGTTCTCGGCTCGCCATGCATCTTGTTCACCTGTGGGTGAGTCGAGCACGAGTAATACTTCGGTGGGGGTTTGAATCCCTCCTCGTCCAACCATCGTTTGATTTTTAAAAAACTAATGCACGCTTACATACCATTAGTTCTGGTTAACTATCGGATAAATTGGCTTAAACTGCATCAGAAAAGGAGGAGTAGCGCTTTTGATTAGAGACTATTCATTAAAAACACAGAACTATATTAAACGGTAACATGATGTATAGAGAGTCTAACACTTGCACACAAGCCAATGAGCTCACAAACCTACTCGTGTGAGACGATTAGCAGCTCGCACAAGAAAGTTGCTGCTCGCCTCACGTCTGCGACTTTCCCCACTTAACACCACTATTATTTTCAACAGTTGTTTCTTCATATGTAGGACTGGAAGAGTTATAAAATTCTAAAACGAGAAGAGTGAGCGATTACATTTCCCACTAAATATCACATCAACTTCATTGTTCTATTGCTTGCACCTAACCTAGCTAGATCGGTCTGTCTTCCTAACTGATGAACAAAAGTTACAAATACATTTTTCTACCTGTTAAAAGGGAAAAAAAGAAAAAAAAAAAAAAGAAAGAATGTCATGAGAATGCAACAGAAAATAGAATACAGACAGCAACAAATAGATATGCATTGAAGTTTTATGTGTAATTTACCTCAAATCATTGCTTTGTAACATCTACACTCTATTCAGAACTCTTCACCCTGATAATGAACACCTAAGGTAGAAAAACACAATAAAACGAGCCAGTAAAGACTTGCATAATCTCGGAAGATGACTCTATCAAGTAAATACATCATCTTAAGCAATTGCTGAACAAGTTACCTTAAGTACTGTTGGGCGAGTTAACTGGAAAACAAGTGCATCCCCATCTACAAGGTCATGGTCGACAGAAAATTTTTTCCACCCACCACTGAGTCCTGATTTTCGAGCCAAGTAGATTACTGGCCACTCTTCTCCCTGTTCATCTATCAGTGTAACCACTCCATCATTTCTTGGAAGTTTTCTCTTGCAGAAATCTGATGAAAGACCCTACAATAATTCGAAGTCATAGTGGATAATCATGGTTACTATTTGTATTTTATCATATGTAAATAAACAATGTACCAAAATCATTCTTGCATCGTATCCTAGGCCAATTTCGATATGATAGAAAGGTGAGGCCTAAGCATTACTGCAGCCTAATCTAAAGGGAATATATTTGAAGTAACGTTCACTATGAAAAACAGAGTAAAGTAATCTACTGATGCTCACCAGCCAAAAACCACCACTGACATGGGAGGGAAGCATTGACTTCACAAAGGATGGATAACCAGACTCCAGGCTTGACTCAAGCTCCTCTGCTTTCTTTATAGCACATTCCCTATCTTCATCTGATGCATATACCCGGTTCGAGAGGTCCCGGGTCCGATTTGTAACTCTACAAATCCATTAACCCAATAAAGAACACAATAATATAATTGCATTATTAACAAATCTGCAAGATTTTACCTTCTAGGAATTTGCACACGGTCATAAAAAGTAACCTGGCAGAGTTACAAAATTTACTGATTTAAAGGTGGGTTCTATTGAAATCAAACAAAAATACTAAAAGAAGGAGAGTCACGGTACTTCTTTGTAATGAGGGGCTGATTTGTTGGAAAACCTTTCTGATCTTCTGACAGGAACAATCTCTGTTCTGGGTGTCCGAGGTTTCGACTTCTTCATCTTTGAGTTATACCAAGCAAATAAATGGGTTTTCGATTTAGTGAACAAAATACAAAAACTAAACTAAACTCAAATAAGTGCACGAAAAAGATACCGGGGAGGGTTTGGGAGAAGAGGAGTTTTTTAGGGCTATAGAGAGCTGAGAGAGATTGAGTTCCTCAAGTCTTTTCTTGTTCTCTTCCAATCTTTGCTCGCGTAAGGCCTCATATTTCACTTTGGACATCACCATTTTTGCCTTTTCCTTTCGATTCTGCAGATTTAAAGAGAGTTGGAGCAGCTCTAATAAGTGGGGTGGGGTGGGGAAGACAAACAATCTTCACTTCTCCTTTAGCATGTTTAAATATACTCTTGGGAGGCAATTTTGACCGTTGCAATGCCACTTTTGAATTGAAAAAGGAAAAGGAAAAGAAAAATTTCTTTTTATTTAGGAATCTGAAATAACACGTAAGGTTTTAAGCTCAATCAAATATGTGAAATGATGAATTTAACAATTTAGTAAGGATTTTATCACTTTGTCAAAAGAAATTTGACTGATACAATTACATAACCCAATATGGCAGCAGATGATTTGATGGAAAAGTTGACCATATTTAAAACAATCCAATGATGGAATGCAATGTGGTATTATATCAAAGACTATGTCAATGCATTTGGCTAATATGATTTATTTGCAATCTTCATTTATTAAAGGTTATATTGAAGGAGATAATTAAAATGGGCTTTAAATAGTAGCCAATAAGAGATCATAGTTTGATTTTGCTAAAAATCATATTTTTAGTATATTTTGATAAAAATTAATGAAATGTGCGGTTAAAATTAATTATTGGCTTTGACTTAGATTTTTATCAATTTTTTATCTAAATCAAACATTATTTTATGGACCGCAAGTTTGGCTCACGAAGTTCTACGCCTCCAGGCAACCTTGCTCTCATTCTTTGGTTGATAAGCTCGAACAATTAGTACGCACACACATGTTATGAGTGAATGTTAGGGAAATATATCCTGAGTTCCATTCCTCAAAGTAGCATTTTCCTCATTCTTAAGTTGGCAAGCTAGAACAATTAGCACACACGCACGCTACGAGTACGGTGTTAGGAAAATACTTGCATATAATCATATCATTAGTACACTCTTTGGTAAAATAGGCCACACGCCTGACTGTTGGCGACCTTGCCGTGCTGAATGGGGAGATAAGCATTCTCGTTGCATAACACATAGGTTTCATTCAATATCTTTAATGAGATATTAAATATTACCTAAAATACGTATTTAGTTAAACATCTCAATGGTCGTATGACCTTCCACAATATTTTTTATTGATCATTCTACTTTTACAATGTTTTCAACTAACCGTTGAACTTTGGTGATATGATGAAAACCAACGTTCAGGGTGCTTGGGTTTTTTTTTTTTTTTGACCGATTTTGAGTGGCATTGCTTATGAGAGGTTGGAAAAATTAGTGCTTACTAATTTTTTGGGCAA